AGGCAATAGTTAAAAGCCAACAGGCAATCGCCAATTGTCAATTTCATATAGGCATCACTCAAAAGTCAATAGTCAATTGTTCAGTAGTAAAAACTCTACGCCAAAAAATTAATAGGAAGTTATTAATAGCTTGCAGTCAATAGCTAATTAACAATTTTGACTAGTCAATATTTAGTCGATAGTCATTAGTCAATAGTCATCAGCCAACAGTAAATAATCAATAGCCAATAATTACCAGAAAATAGCTAATAACAAATAGTCAATTATCAGTAGTGAATTGTTAGTTATAAATACTCAATACGCTAGCTGAAAGCGAAAAGTTCACTTTTCATGAAAACTCATATTGTGATATAGCAAGTGGGAGAAATTAAAAAAAGGGATTAAGGTACTAAAAAAATGGCAATAAGTTTTTTCCTCTCCTGTAAAATTAATAAAAAAATGGCAAATTTTCGCTATAAGCTAGCTAGCTAGTCAATTATCTATGGTCAGTATAAAGAGATTCTAGGTATTTTTATGTTTGCATTGCTTAGGAAAGAAAATGAAACAAATGATCGCTTTCCTTTTGTGAACATCAGCTAAAACTGAAGTTCATAGCGTTGTTCCGTTGTACCAGCGCTACACAAAAATTATTTAGGTCACAGCACTAAATTTTTATTTTTTTTATACAAAAGTTCGTAAAATTAAAGTACGTCAGTCCTGATGCTTTTGTATGTGTGCAACCATTTACTTACCCTGTACAAAATTACACTTCACCCGGCAGTTTTTACTACTTCCATGCCGAATCATGATAGTAAAAGTTAAGAATGTACATTTGGTAGCGGAATTACTTCTTAGCCGCTTTACCATGTAAGGTACGTAGAATGTAGAGCAGTCGCATGGAGTAGCGCGGCGGCATGTGATTTTGCAACTCAGATAGTAAGACGTCATCGGAGGTTTCATTTTGCGCTTTACTAATAAGTACATGACATTGGTCATGACGACAATTTTGCTACTAAAAGCTTAAAGAGAACATGGATTACCCTGTAAGGTGCTTACCTGTTTTCCCAGTGGGTACAGTCGCAGCAGCAAATATATAGTGCATGCATACCTTAATGGCGCCCGAAAACACGCTACAATCGAAACAAAACTAAATTACCAGCAAGTTACACTGATTACTAACTGATTGTTGACACGACAAACAACATTGAATACCGCAAGTGTAAACAGGCAGGCACACGCACCAATACACAGCCAAGCACATTTACTTGCGCTAAATTCTGTGGAAACGGCTGTCGAACATCAAATTGAGCAAACGAGCATCATATCATCATGGAATGGATGAATGTTGACAAACACATGTCTGCAAGTGCTGGTGCATGTGCGAGACACATGCGTTTGTACTTGTTTGCATTTACAAACAAATTAATTAAATATTATCGTCTTATTTACATTAAGTCTTTGCTGATGTTTTCAAATTGATGTCGACTGAGGTTGACTTTACATTTTGCGTTGCGCTTTGCTTTGCTAGGCTGCGTTGTCATTTTGCAATAACAACCAATATCAAGTCAACCCAGAAACCAGTTTCAATTGAAACTTTAAGTGAATGAAATTCACACCGTATCTGCAAGCAAGGGAGTTTTTGCTGCAAAGCAATAACATTGCTGAAATTTCTATACTAAGTACCTAGGTATATATGTATTTTTTTTTATAAACTTTAGGGTTAACTGGAATTCTAATTTTGGCTTGAACTACTCAAAGGCGTTATTTGCTGCAAAAAATACCTACAATGTGTCGCAAAAAGTGATTTTCTTTTGATATCATTCCAAGTATAATTAAAAAGTATGTTATTTTTGTAATGGTATACATAAGTATGAGCCGTTTATTTGAAAGTGGCATAAGTCACTTTTTCGAAAAAATCTTATTAATGATAACACCAATTAGAATTTAGCGGTATCGGTTAATTTGAAAGAAAAAAAATTGCATTGAAATGTTGAGAACTACTGCGGTTTTGTTCAAGAGAAATTTCACTAATGAGCGTTATAACGAAAATGTTTATTTTGAAAAAGGCATAAGTCACTGAAAAAAATCTAGTTAATGATAGCATTGAGTCGAGCAAAGGTCAGTTTTGCACAAATATAGTCAAACTGCGTTTTCAGTTACTTTCTCTGGCGTCAAGGAGTTTTTTAAAGGACTTTGAAATTTCAAAGATTTGATTAGTTTCAAAAATTATTTAAAAAATTCAGTGATATATAGAATAACAAAATAAAATATAAAATTCTGTGGAACTGGTATTGAAAATGGCCTTTTAAAAATTTTTTCTTGAGTATCCTTGCAAATTTGCAGTGTTTATTTTTGAAAAAATTATACGTTCAGGATTTTGTCCTTCTACTTTAATAGTGTATAAATTAAAACCATTTAAAAAGGTATTTTCAATATCAATTCGTCCTTGTGAACCAAAAAAATTCTATATTTTTATCTTCCAAAGAATTTATCTTTATTTGTTACCCATATTGTTAGTCGAGATGGGAATGTTACTCATACGCCATGTACGTACGTTCCATTTTAACTTTCCCATGCTAAATGGTAGATCCAATATGGATCAGAAATTTTGATTTTTAAAAATCTGATTCCATATTCGTAGACTGTAAAGTTTTAAGCGAATCTAAGTGATTTTACTTTTTTGGCCGTTATATTGGGTCCGCCATTTGAAATCTTGTAAATCAGCGACCCCAAGACCCCTCGAGTAACACAGCACAGTAATGAGGCCATTTTTAATTTTTCCCTTTGAATTGTGCCTCTTTGCAATCGAAATGGTATTAGCTTACGGGTAGTTAGACTTACTAGAGGTTTACTTTAGTTGCTCAAAATTTTGGACAGAGCTCTGGGCCGGTTGATGTGAAACGTCCCATTTATATATAAACATATACACAGTGCAAGAATTGCTTGTTTAAAGTACTAAGAGTATAATCATCAATTTTAGTAAACCACTGTTTTTTTTTTTACTTTTTCTGCCATAATTTTTCTGCCACCTTTTATGAGAATGAAAAAAAATGTAACAAATTTATTTCGCAGTCGGTGTAAGAAAAATCCATAAAATGTCGCGAGCAACTAAAGTGGAACAAAAAGGCCATTGACTTGTTCCATTTATAACTAAATTTGCGCTGATACATTTAGTTGTATCAGTGGAAGAAGAACGAAAACAACAAGCGAACGTTGGCCAACTGCCATGGCTCGCAACCAACCTACATACATACATAAAAATATACAGCAGCACTAAAGCAAAATCAATTTATGGTTTGATACTTTTGTTTTAATCCCAATCTGGGCTTAATGGCTTGGTGCTGCTCCGCACAAAATTGAATTAAATGTGTTTGGCTAAAGGCGTTAAGAATCAACTGGTGCTGATAAGCGTTTAAGACAATGTTGGCATATTGCCCATCTCTGTAACAGTTATATATAAACAAGTAATTTTTAAGCAAAAAACAAAACCGACTTCAATTCTCATATACAAATTTAGGAGTACCGTTATTTTTTCATGATCCAATGATCTGATCTAAACCAGTGATCTGAGACACTAACTTTCCGATGCAAAAAGAATTATCGAAATCGGTCGACGTGGTCCAAAGTTATGTGGTAACATACACAAATAAAAAAAAAATATTCCGACGAACTGATAACCTCCTCCGTTTTTGGATGCGATCATTGAATCGTGAAATATATAGATATATGTATATCTTTTTTAAGTCGGTTTTTTTGCTAAAAATTACTTGTAAATATTTTAAATGCTGGCCCTACAACCACCAACTTTAAATTAAAAAAAAAAACAATTAAAATCACTAACCTGGGAAAACTGCAAAATCGCCTTTCTTTTTACAATCCAGACTTTCGGCAAACTTTGGTCTCATCGATTAACCACAAAAAAAAAAACTTAAAATGTCGTATAGTGTTAGTATAGAAATTATTGCCTTCAAAAACACCTCTTCCTTCACTTAAACTAATTTTTATTTTTTCTCCTCCTCTCGCACGTTTTCAGCTCTAGCAAAACTATACAATTTTACCTGCCATGGGCAATTTGACCTCCACGAACACCGCATCAATGGATATCAGTCCGCATGCTGCCGACCATCAAAACCGCAATCACAGACACAGCTACAATGTCACCGAACAAGTGAGTGATGATGAGTCGCCTGATAATCACAGCAATAACCCCAACAACAACATCGGCAACATAACAATCAGAGTCAATAATGGATTGAGCAATGGCAGCGGCGCCAGCGGTAACGCTAATGGAAATGGCACCACAGCATCCGGCAATGGTGTCGCGAAAGTACCGCGTTCATATGAGCCACGCGAGCAGCGCATCATCACCAAGAATGTAATCGTTATCGGCCTGGCATTTATGATACACTTCACTGCTTTCCATGGCACTTCGAATTTGCAGAGCTCCGTAAATTCGGACAAGGCATTGGGCACCACAACGCTTGCTGTCATTTATGGCTCGCTGATTTTATCGAATATATTTCTACCGATGACAGTTATAAGGTAAGTGCGGATGTGAAATGCCAATATACATAACTACATATATGTAGTTACTAACAGACATGTATAGATAAGTCAAATGGTAGTTATTGATTTAAGCGTTTGCGGGGTGGATGTTTGTGTTCGTACTTAATGTTTTTGGATATTTGCTGGTATTTTTCCAGTTGAAGCTATACATTTGCGATTCGAGTGTGCTAACATACATACATACATACATCTGTACTAACATACATACCTACAAATGTACAATGCAACAAGCATATTCATGTGAAAAAAAATAATGAAATTTAATGCCCCGCGTTGTAAGTCGCCATAAAAGAACAGCAAAACAATAATTTGTATCTGTAGGATATTACTTGAAAAACTAACGAATGAGACTGCATACAAAGCGAACGAAGTGTAACTGAGGATATATCGCACAATGTCTTCAAAAGAGTCACAACTCAAAATTTGGCATTTTTGAGATTATGCGCTAAAAATGTACGCAGAGCTTTTATTTACCTTTCAGCAAAAGCTGGAGCAAATTTTTGTTATAATTTATTAAAAACAAAAACCTAAGGTAAAGTCGCCCTTGCCCACATGATTATCATGTTGAGACTCTTTTGAAGACGGTGTGCGATAGATGCGCTGCCGGCAAAAAGTATTGGCACAGCAAATTTTTCACAATATATGCAACACTTTTTTTTTAATATTTTTCCGCCATTTTTTTTTTTTTTTTTTAAATGGGTCATTCTATAACAAATAACATCAAAAATATAATTCCCAAACTTTGAGCAAAACTCACGAAAATTCAGCAAATTGTCAACTTTTTAATCAGATTTTGAAAATTTGCATAAAAATTTGCTGAATTTTCGAGAGTTTTGCTCAATGGTTAGGAATTATATTTTTAGGTTTTTTGTTGTAGATTGAACCATATTTTTATAAAAAGAATGGCGGAAAAATTAGCTGTGCCAATACGCTTTGCCGGCAGTGTAGTTTTTTTTTTCAATAAATAAAAATAAATCTTATTTCTTTTTCGCGCTACTTCTAGGACATGTGTATAAGAAGTTGAAAATTTTGTAGCAATATACATATTTTTGCTGCTAATGATTCATGTAGTCGAAAAGGGTTACCTTTTCATTCCCCACGCACTTGATTTATGTTCAGCAGCATTTCAAAAAAACGAATGCCCAATTTCCGTAATGAAATATTTTTTCTTTGCATTGCGTGTGAATAAATCGGTTTGAACGAGTACCTACGAAGCGATAATTCCACCGTATTTAGTCCATTTCATTTATCAATTCATTCGCCCTTTTCAGTGTTTCAATTTCACATATTTTTCATGGAAATACAGCAATAATAAATCTTGCGAAAGGTGTCCAAGAGTAAAAACAAAAGAGTTCAAGCGTAGTTTTTATATATATGCAGGTCGCCTTGTGCAGTGCGTTTCTTTAGTGAATAAAGCAAATAATTTAAGATAACAAAAGGTTAAAGATTTACAGAGAAATTAAAAAAATGAATACTTTAACTGCTGTATAAATCGAAAATTTGTATGAGAAAGTCACTTTAAACTTATTTAACTTAGATTTGCCTATTAAATTATATGCATTTATACAACCGTGCGACAAAAACAAAAAAATTCGGAACAAACCAAGCAATCAATA